TGGTCTTCCCTTTCGTTGTGTCCTATTGTTTTTTCTTGGGCCTTTGTCTTTTCTTGTGGGTTGTTTGGTCTTTCTTGGCGTTCTTTCCACAGAATTTGGCCGCTTTGTTCTGTTTTGTAATTTTTGTTTCTCTTCCCAGTAATAAAATTATTGCCTTCCACAAAAAAGGATGGTTAAAGAAAAAGTTTGACTATGATAATTTTTAGCTCTAACATTTATCTCGTTATTTTCACCATATTAGTTTGTCGTCGTCTAAGTCATCAACAAAAAGAAATTTTTTCATGGTATGATAGCAAGGATTTGGTACAAACCATAGCCAAATCTGTATCTGCTACATAATTTAGAAAGAGAGGAAAAACCCCAACCACTGTCGTCACCATTACCTCAACTCCCCTTGTTGTAGCTGCTACCTCTCCTCACCATCGCAACCACCCTATCACATCAAATCCCTCACCTCTCGTGACCAATGTTACTAAGCCACAATTGCTGTAACCCCCCCTCCACCACATTTCTCTAGCCCCAGTCGCAACTAACCACCTCAGCAACATAATAAAATCTACAAAGGATTGGTCACTGATAGTGTCCAAGGAGTGATAAAAATCATTATCTCATAGATGACCTTGGTCACCAATGACTAAAGAGTGGGATGCCAATGATAATTGAGTTCTATTCAATGACATTTTATGTTTATAGAGTTGAATTGTGTATCCTTGTTGAAGCCCTGGGAGTTTCTGCCCATTATGTGTACTCTAAATGTGAACAAGGACACTTTTTAGTTTGAAACACATTTCAAGAAATTGTACAATAATCTATAGACATTTTTTCTCAATAGCACCGCTGTGGTTATATAACAACAGTGTAAGCATAAGCAACTGGCTCTCCTCACGTTTGTAGTTCTCTTTCCTAAGTATGCTTCATCGGTGCCTCATTGTTGTAAGCCATGTAGCCATCTCATTCCTACCTTCTACTATCACTTGTTGCAGTAAATGTATATTACACACGAATCATAGGATCTACCATCGACATTTCTGCTCTTGCTGCCTCAAAAGGACACCTCCTTATCTTCTGCATCTGTTTTAGATAAAAAGATCCACTGTCCTTGTACAAGGTTTTGGCTATGGGTAGTGGAATTATCCTAACCATGTAAAGAAGAACGTCTACCCCAGCCACCACTTATTTCCTACAGCCGAAGGGGCTCTATTATACAGGAGATGTCTGGAATTAAGAATCTATCATGAGAAAGGTTCCTTCCACTCTTAGTACTAGTTCAACATTATGAGGTATACTTACTATTTTTATTGCATACTTATCATCAACTTGGGTGTCTGATCTTAAAGCTTCTGGATGGTCATCCAAAGTTTTAAGGGCCTTTTTTCATTCCCTTCCTGTTGGACTCGCTCCAACTTGCTCATGCTTCTCAACATCCTAGTAAAAGGGTTGGTTCCCCCATATGACCTTAACATATGTTTTTGTGATCAACTTTTCCTTCTTGTTTTCTTCCAATTATCTAAACTACACATAATTTAAATTTTTTGTAACCTTTTTCCTAACCAACTATCATATTCAAGTGTTGGAGACAGTACAGATAAACATTTAGCAAAGACCTTTGGGGAATCTGTGAGATAAAAAGCATCAAGAATGCTCATTCTTGATCTAGACACCCTTCATTGTTTGTCCTTGAAAACTAAGATTCGTAGCTGTCTATTTTGGATTTCGACCATGAGAAGTCTTAGTTAGGAAAAAGTGCCCATTTGCTTATCCTCTTAGACTAGGTAGTCAACTCTATATTTCATTTAGTTCATTCCGATGTTAGGGGACCTTGTTCTAGAGTCTATTTGATGGTTTTTGAATAACCTTCCATTTTTTGTTGGATGAAAGAACCACTTAGGTTTGTTTATTGAAATCTAGAAGTGATTATTTAATATCTTTTTGTGACTTTCGTACTTATGCCAAAACTTAATTTTTGAGGTTTATATTTTACACCCTTGCATAATGAATGGAAGAATATTTTACCACTAAATATAATAAGTTTATTTATGGAATATTGCATGAATCCTCTTGTGCTTATACACCCTAGTAGAATGATATTGTTGAATGGTAGAACCATGTGCCTGATGTAGCTGCACAATTTTACTTTATACCAATGCTTTACATGGATTTCGGAGAGATGTTTGGTTGGAAATTTTTACTCCATTGTCAATTGGAAATTTTTGTTGTTTGTTGTATACCCATCTACCCAGTTGCTCTACGTCTTGCCAAACATGTTTGGCTGTGTGTTATGCCCCATGACATGCATCCATATGGAATCAAGCTAGATCCCATATTGTTTATAGCATCTTTGTACGGGTATTTGAACCCAAGTATTCAGGAGAAAATGGGGCCTTACATCTTGAAATTAATTTAGCAAGTATATGATAAAATCCATGGGCATTATGGTAATCTCATGTTCAAAAAGGCTATAGCTGTTATAATCCTAACTCCTAGAGGTACTTGAATTATGTAGATATTACCTTTCTTAGTTTTAGTTTCCCAACAATCTTCCCTTTCCCTGATTCTTTGATTCTTGTGAGCTATGTTGCTAGAGTGATCAAAATTTGAAATAGCGGTTAGGACTGTGATTTGAGATAACGGTTATCAAGATGGTATAGCAGTGCTATAGTGGTTCACAAATAGCAGTTCATGTAATAATTACGATTATATATAAATGTGTGTATGTAAACGTAACATATTATATATATTGAAGATGAACAGAAGAACGTGAATAGAAGAGATCACGAGCAAAAAATGTTGGAAGACGATGTTTTTGTTGTGAAGAGAAGATGTAGAAGACGATGTACAATGCTGGAATAGAAGAGATGAGAGAGGAATAGCGAGTTTACACATTGATATTTCAAAATTCAGCCCCCTAGCTCGTAATACCTTAATCAACTTCTCTAAACCCTTAAAAAGCCAACTGAAAGCCCAACCCCTAATTGTGGTTTTCACACTGCTATTGTGAATCAAAATCGCGGTGGTTAGCACCATTATTAGTGGAACAGCTATTTCCACTAGTACCACTGACCGCTATAGCACCACTATTTTCCGCTATAGCACAGCAATTAACAGCTTAACTTATGAGCCTTTGGAGTACTCTGAAAAACTAGCACCAAGTATTGGAGAACACAAGAATCTCTGGCTCCACCTTCTCCTCTTCTGAACCACCTATTAGACAATCTAATACACAACCTAAACATCCACCTACACCTCTTGTTGATCTTGTAGCACTACTGAACCACCTACTATATAGCCCGCAAACACAACCTCAGCACCTACCTACACCGCTTAGTGCCATTTTCACTGTCTAACCTATTGCCATTCAATATGTGTGTATATATACATTTATTTATGTCTATGTATTTTAAGTTACCAATCATGGGTGTATTGATAAATTTGGGATTGCATTGCCCAATCCGGAAATCCCCATAGGGTATTCAATTATTAAGCAAGTATGTACTAAATTTACTATCGGGGTGTATGTTCTTGGGTGACAAACCTGTAGACTCAGCTATGGTTCCAAATGGTAAGTTGTTACTATAAGCCAGAAAGGTTCTGACAGGTCTAGACCTCCTTTAATGGACTCTTACACGACTGGACCGTTCGTAGTGTGAGAGTATAGTCAGTGAAATCATGTATTCTCTTTACGCTCATTATTAGGATGCCATTATTTGGATTTGATGTATCTCAAGTCTTTTGAACTAAGCGGTTTTTTGTAGTTTGACGAGGGTCACTACAAACTTAGAGCCTGCAGTGAGTAGGGTTGTGGAAAGATCGCGGGGTTCTCATATCAAATTAGGTTGCATGTCGTTTTTCTTGTTGGTCCCTCATTGGATTCTATGTTTACGTACATGGCCAAATACAAGGCCTGAATGAGTGCCTTGTTTTGTTAGCATCAAAGGAAGAGCTTTTGGTGTCGTTGAAAACTGTTGCTTGAAGATAGTAGGTCAATGACAACCAAACCATGAGTAAATGGTAGTGAAGTGAAGACAGAGAAAAGGTAATTAGGATAAGAGATGAATGCTATAAAAACTTGTATAAATGGAGGAGCAATGAAAACACTGGGTTAAGAAGCCATTAAATCAAGTCTGAGGTCCATAGTTTCAACCACTTTGCATTGCACTTACAGTTGTTTGATAACAGACTGCCTGAAACCAAAAGGCATAATTCCGAAAAGAAACTGTCAATAAATGGGGCCAAACACTTGGTACATCACTAGAAACTAGGAAGGTTAAAAGTATGTTTATAAATTGGATAAGGGGATCATAGATATTAATAGAATTAAGGTTTGAAAAAGTGACATAGACTAGTTTGCAAAGCATAGCACTAGAAGGGAGCGTTGGATGACCTAACAACTCTTTTGAATGAAAATAGATTTTATATCACTAGGGACAGGGCACGCTAGAAAAGATAAAAATAAGTAGCACTGGTTGAGATAGAGTCACTTGGAACACTCTTAAGGACTTGGTTTTGATATAAGGGATGCCATATATGTCCAGAAAATCAAAGACTTGGTTCTTGTCATCATGTTCTCTTGGGGGATTCCAACTGAACTCTAGCCCACTCCAGCCAGTATATAAGAGTCATTGTTGATGTAACATCTTTTCAATGGATGATAAATGAATAGGACTTTCTGAAACACCCTAGAATTTTAAAGAGAATCTTCATTGCTCAACTCAAAGGATGAAAAACCTACAATAAATGTTGTAAGATCATGCTGTTTGAAAAGTGGATTTCATTTCCTGCAGAACATAGTTTTGACTTGTGTTCACTTCTTTTCAACAGACTGAGTACATAAATATGTTTCACAATGGATATATTACATGTAAAATGTGAAAGATGATGAAATTCATACAAGGATTTAGCTGAATCTATCTTTTCATTCGTGTGCTTATTGGTAAATAACTTTCCATTGATATACCTAATCCTTTATCGCAGTATAAAATCTTTTTGATTTTGAATCTCAGGTCACCCCCTCTTGGAGTGTTTGTATGCTTGAAATGCTGTGGCGTTCACAGAACTCTAGATCCAAGTATTTCAAAGGTAGGTGGTTTTTTGATACTCTCTCTAGAAATCCTCCCTTCCCCATGGATGTGCACATCCATCTACCAAAAATATTAAAGAAATTCATGGGCAAAATGACATTAGACTAGTGGTTACGAAAACAAAGTTTACATTTTGGTCCTCTGGTAACTTCTTAATCCCAGTATTGCATTTGTCATTGCAGTACAGATTTTGGAAGGAAAGGTCTTGGGGAAAAATTTAGAGGCTAAATCCCCTATAATTCTGATTTTTGAACCCAATTCACAAGTTTGAGACTAGTATTGGTGACATGTAGAAACATTGAACACCAATGGGTACTCGTAATCAATAGAGTGTGTCCAAATCCATTTTGCATATGACCTGCATACATGTTTTTAGTGAATTAAGCCGTTGGTCCATGTGTTATGCCTCCGTTTTGGTTTTGGACCTTTAAACACATTAAGTACAGTCCTTATTTTGTGTTTCACATAACATTTTTGGTCCCTTGAGTTAACCAAATTGAGATTTTTCCAATATTTTTTGCTCTTAATGATTTTGACTTGTTGATGGATCATAAAATGAATTGGTCGGATGTTTGGTCCTTTGAGTTAACTAAATTGAGATTTTTCAGGTATATTTTACTCTTAATGATTATGACCAGCTGATGGATTGTAAACTAAATTGGTACAGGTTTTATCCGTGACATTAGATGAATGGACTGATGAGGAAATTGATGCCATGGTTGAAGTTGGAGGAAATAGTTCTGCAAATTCAATCTATGAGGGTCATTTTCCTGAAGGAGTTACTAAGCCTGGGCCAGATGCTAGTCATGAGCAACGTGCAAAGTTTATCAGGTAACTTTGTATGCAAAGGCATCCAAATAATGCACTATAGTAGATATAGAGGTAGGTTCAAATGAGAACCTCAAATTCATTCAGAACCTGGGGAACCAGTTATACATGATGAATAACACTCAATAATGAAAATTATTCATGACGAATTCGTGATAATATTCATGAAGAAAATTATTCATAACCAAATACATGATATTAATGATAAAAATACATGATATTCATTAAACTATACATAACAAAAATGCAATATGATATTCATGATGAATAATATTCAGTGTTATGTTGGTTCCCCGGGTACTCAATGAATTTGAGGTTCCCAATGGAACCCACCCTCATAGTAATTTCCATAGCCCCCAACTGCGTTATGATATGATTGATTATGAAGGGAAAATTTGATGGGAATCAACAATTTTCTCTTTCATAACTGCCTTTAATGAAATATTGATCACCACGTACATTTTTGTCACATGATTTAATCCCCATTCTCTTGGACGCTTAGAGCATCTCCAACAAATTTTCTAAAATAGAGAAAACAGGGATTTTGAAGATTTTTTGCTCCAACAGATTCTCTAGAATATAAAAACAAGAGAGAAGATAAAAATCTCCGAACATGCTACAATTTAATGTTGAGGAATATTCTTTAATTGTTTGCCCAAAGCAAGTGTTGATTGTTTGAAAGTTCGTTTAAAAGTTGTTTGTTGGGGTATTAATTGCATTGGATATATTAATAATATAATTAATGTTGGAATCTCAAAATAGAGAAACTGCTAGAGTTGAATTTATTATTTTTAGAGATTTTGACTCTCTACTTTAGAAACACGATAGTTGGAGTAACTTAAACAGAATTTTTCATGTTAAAAATATGAACTTATGTGCCTGAAGATTTTGGTATATGGCTGTATATATGTCATTTAGGTCCAAATATGAGCTTCAAGACTTCCTGAAACCAAGTTTGAAGATCTCATCAACTAATGCTAAAAGGAACACAAGTGAAAGGGCTAATAGTTTACCAGCTACAAGTTCGATACAGATGCCTGTAAGTGCACAACACTTTTTTGAAGTTTATTAGAGATAAACGATATAATCAGCAGGACAAATTAATTTTGTTCAGCTGATCGGAAAATGATCACAGGAAGGAATGGAAGGAGCTATTGGAATGCTGAAGATCACTATACTTCAAGGTGCAAATCTTGCTGTCCGAGATATGCTATCAAGTGATCCTTATGTTGTTCTTACGCTAGGCGAGCAGGTCAGTCTCTTTGTATCTACTTCTGTTATCGGACCCCAGTAGCAACTTTACAGACAAGGGAAGTTCCACATTCCATACATTAGTAAATTATGATAATTGTTAACCACTCTCTGAAATACAAGTTTGCTAACTAAGGGGCAGTTTACCAACACAAAGTGGGTAAGCGCTTACCGGGTAAGAGTCACCACCCTCACTTACCGGATAAGAGTCACCACCCAGCAAAATGACAAAGTTAGGGACTGTTTACTAAACACTTATTGCCTCTTACCAGGTAAGAGATGTACTTTACCAATCATCTTACTGTGCCATATTGCTAACCAAGAATCTCACCCGCTAAGTGAAGGCGGTGCGCTTACTGGGTTAGAGACACTTATACTATGTTATTTTGAAGCCGAAAATCTTAGGGGCCGTTCACCAAACTTTTACCAGCAAGAGTCATGACCCTCACTTACCTTATTGGGTAACATTTTTGGCCATTAAAATGGATTGTTGGTAAGCGTCTCTTAACCGGTAAGCGCCAACCGGGTAAGTCTTCTCCCTCACTTATGGGGGTAAGATTCTCGATCCTTGCTATGCCTCTTACCGGGTAAGGTTCTTGGTCCTTGCCATGCTCACCCACAGTGGCGGTCCCAAGATTTATTTTGAGCGGGTGCACATTTAAAGTCGTAAAGTCGTGGTTGACGGAGGGAAGTCAATGCGATTTGACCCGGTTCAAAGTTAATCAACAATTTGGGGAATAAAATACATTCTTCCAAATGAGATCGACTTTGACATTTTGGCCAAAACGCAAGGCTATGTCTTTTTCCGGACATGTTTTTAGCCGAATTCTATCAAGGGACTTTTTCGGTTTTTCGGTTGATTTCGTAAAATTTTCTAATTTTAGAATTTGATTTGGTTGTCCTTATCTTTCTTTTTCTCTATTTATAATTTTGTTTCATTATGCATGTAAAACTTCTAGTATTAAATATGATGTTTTACAATTTAAAAATAACTAACCAAATTAAAATCAGTGCTAGGCTTTGAGCAAATGAAAATTGACTAGACAGATTTAGTGCAATTTAGATTTAGAACAAATGTACAATTTAGGACTAATCAATAATGAAATAAATTTAATTTAGAGCAACCCTATAATTTAGGATTAATAAGGCAAATCAATAATAAAATTAAAGCAATTTAGGACAAATAAGTAAACTGTAACAGATATATGTTTGAAAAATACGAATCAAAGGAAAGGATGAACGCTTCCTCATGGGTGGTGATTGAAGAACATAAGTGGGAACAAAGTAAGTTTTACTAAAAATTTCGGTTTGCTCCCTTCAGTATCAAAATATTTCAGAATACCCTTCTAGTTTTTAAAATTTCATAATATGAACCAGTTAAAAGAGAAAAAATTAAACTGTTACTACAAGTTAACCTCGAACCTGTGACCTCATGGAACCGCAACCTATATCTGATTTAACAACAACCATCTCGTGAACTTCGGATTCTTGTTATAAATTTGGTTTCCAATCATTTAAGGGCACCCTCATAACTAAGCGGGTGCACCCTTATCACGTCTCAATTTTTTTCTCTTGCAATAATCGAGTGAGCGGGTGCACGAGACCTGCCTCAACCCTTAATAGGTTCGCCCCTGCTCATCCAAGGTAAGTGACACCCGTAAGCGTTTGGCAAATCGTCCCTTAACCATAAAGATAAGTGCTGAGGGTGGTGACTCTTACCCGGTAAGCACTTATCTTTTGTATTGGTATACGGCCACTAAGAGTGTTGGTAAAAGACCATCATCTCTAACCGCGTAAGCATCTCTTACCCGGTAAGTTGCAATAATTATTTAGTTATCGGGTAAGCATGTCTAAAAGGTAATAAGTGTTTATTTACCTGTAAGGGGCAACAAGTGTTTAGTTACCCAGTAAGAGGCAGTAAATGCTCATCAGTAAACAATCCCTAACACTCTATGATACAACTTGGTATATAAACAGCTTGGGTTAGTTGCAAAATATAACCATGATGCTTTTTGTTTGTTTGTTTGCTCATGGTGTCTCTCTTCCTTTTCTGGCTGGAATTGGCTTTTACCGTTATTAGAAGGCTCAAACAACTGTACAAAAGAGCAACTTGAATCCAATTTGGAATGAGGAGCTAATTCTTTCCGTCCGTCAGGATTGTGGACCCGTTAAATTGGTAACTCGTAGCTCTTTGTCATTTTCTTTATTTGAATCCTGTCCCAAAATACTTAATTGATTCAAATGTCTTATCGGCTCCTTTCCTTTACGTGCAGCAAGTTTTCGATTACGACACGTTCTCTGCTGATGACATAATGGGGGAAGCGGAAATTGACATTCAGCCGATGCTGACGTCAGCATTGGCGTACGGAGAAGCTTCAATGTTCGGGGATATGCAGATAGGAAAATGGCTGAAATCACATGACAATGCACTGCTAGAAGATAGCACAGTAAATATAGTTGATGGGAAGATAAAACAAGAGGTATCACTTCAGCTGCAGAATGTAGAGTCTGGGATCATATATCTTGAAGTAGAGTGGATACCCCCTCCTCAAAAATAGGTGGTGTTTATGTTGTGTGTGTAGTATATATATATATATACACTAATTCTTTTCCTCATTTCCATCCCTCATCCCACATTCAAAATAAATGTTTTCAATTGTCAACCAAAATTAATTGAATGTTATTTCTTTGTCACCTTATTTTTTAATTCAAGTATCATGTAATTTTATCCTAAGTTTCTGTTTGGTTGAATTTAAATTTGACTATTTGATAAATTTTTTGAGTGACAAAACTATCATATGATTATTTTTAGGGACGTTCCAATCTTTTTGGAGGCCTTGCTACATCCAAAACTTTTGATTACATTGCATAAATGAGATGACAGATAATATATGTTAAGAATAAAAATGGGCTAAACCTAAAACGATTAACAATCTGAAACTAACCCTAAATCATTAATGATTTGAATCTAAAACCAAATAATTAATGGTTTGAACCTAAATAATTTCGGCTATAGTTTTACACATGTCGATAAAAAGACCCTAAACACATGTAAATTTGAGCCCCAAAATTTCGGGGGCTAATGTTTCAAATGTCACATTTAATATGCTAAGGGACGACCCTGATTATTTTAATGTATGAGTTATTTAAATGATCTTTTTATGTAAATTGTAATGATGTGAATTTAAAGAGTAAGTTATGGTTCTGGTTTATGTGTTTGTCTCTAGACTTTGTTTATATATGAGTTCTGTTTTGATTTTGGACTCTCATCATAACAGCCATTACGTTTGAGGCATTAATTGTCACATGTACCCTTCATATAAGGGTATTTTAGTCATTTTTATTATATCAAATATATCTAAAACAAAATACTCTCTCACTATCCTATATATGCTTCTCCAATTGATCTTTAGATGAATTTAATTACATTTTGTTATTTTATTTTGATTTATAGTTTTATTGTTTTTTGATACAAGTCTTTATTTATTTATTTTATTTTAAATACATGGTTTAGTATTTTGTTTTAGATTAATGACGGTGGTTGAAAATAGAAATGGCCAAATGGGCCCGGCCCGGCCCGTAACCGCCGGAGGACCGGAGAGGGACCGGAACTGGCCCGGGACCGGTATGGACCGGTTATGGACCGCCGGTTATGAACCGGTTATGGATTTTAACGTTTTTTAGGACCGAGACCGGAACCGGTTATGTAACCGGTTATAGGACCGGCCCGGCCCGGTCAACAAAAGTCAACGTGTATATATATATATAACAAAACGTATTTTATAAAATTAAACTTATATATATATATATATATATATATAACAAAACATATTTTTAAACGTATTTATAAAATTAAACGTACACATATATAACAAAACATATTTTTAAACGTATTTATATAAAACATATTAAAAATAACATATTACAAACATATTAATAACATATTAAAAATAAATACGTTTAATTTTATAAATACGTTTAAAAATATGTTTTGTTATATATATATAAATTTATTAATTACCAAAAATTAGAAATTTTTTTTTTTTTTGGAAAGGACCGGCCGTAACCGGTTATGGGACCGAAACCGGGACCGGACGGCTTAACCGGTTACCGGTAAGCTTGACCGGTTATGGAGGATTTCACCGGAACCGGGACCGGTTATGGAGGGACCGGTTATGAAATGTTTTTGTCTTGATCGGGACCGGCCGTAACCGGTTATGGTCCGGCCCGGGACCCATTTTTGGCCACCTCTAGTTGAAAAGGTGGTTTGGTGGTCTTTAGGGTGGTGGTTGTTTTAGACTAAAACGTCGTTTATCAACTCTTATCAGATAAGTGTTGCTCGGGCAATAGTGTTTATCAAATGTCTTTGTTAAATGCTTATCAACAATAAAACGACCATTGTAATTCAATTTGTAATTATGTGTTGAATAAAATGTCATCGTTTTTTGTTCTTACTAGTTTAATGGAAGAAAAAAAAAATCAAAATTCGTTCTCTAAATAAGTGCATAACTTGGATCAAATTGTAATTGTTTATACATAACATTTAGATTCAAACAAGTTCAACAGAAAATATAGTAAAAGTATGATGTTCAGTATCAATAAAACATGTTAAGAAGCAACAGTAAATAAGTTAACATTACAAAGATATCCTCTAGTTTCTTTAGGCCGTCCTTGAACTACAGAATGATCACCGGTTAGCTATCTTCTGGTCTCTTTAGGCCATCCTCCTAGATTTTAGATACTACTTTACAAATATGAAATTGAAAAGAAAAAATGAGTTATTCCTTGGACCCATTTCTAGAATGATGATTTCAAAGCATTCTAGGAATGGCATAGAAACAAGCTTCCAATCAAAGTATAATCATATGGAAATTGAGTAAAGTTCTGATGGGTTCCAAGCCTTCAATTAAATAGTAAATTGGCAAGAAATATACATCATGAAAGTTAAAACCCAAACAAATCAGTAAATGGGTCAAGAAAATCAGTACCCAAAAGTCTAGATGATAAAATCAGAAATTATTGCTTTTCAATAACCAAAAATTCAGATGAGAAAATCAGAATTTATTGCCTTTCAATAGCCAAAAATTTGGATGAGAAATCAGTACCAGAAGCCTAGATGAAAAAATCAGTACCCAGAAGCCAAAATCAACCAACCCATATGAATGCATTTCCAGAAGCCAAAATTGAACATATAATATCAAATAACAAAAATCGGTTGCTTCAAGTAAAACAAAATCGATCTTCAAAATAGTAGAGGGAGCACATTTTTTTTCAAAAAATAGATGAATCATATGGAGAAGCACAAGAGAGCCAAACACAACGAGGAAGAAGGAAGAGCAACGACTAGCACGAGGAGGGAGGAGGAGCGATGACCGGTGGAAGGTGGCAGGAGGAGAGAGGAGAAGCAACGAGTGGCTAGAGATGAAAACCTAATCGTACATAGGGCAAACTCTGGAAACGTGGAAACTGACTAGGGTAAGTATCATTTTGGAGCTGACTCGATAAGTTTTCGATCGGCATTATGGTCAAATTTTGATTTTGGTAAACATGCTGACTGCTGATCGAGTTGGTGTTGCTGACCAAGTCAGCCCAGTTAGAAGTTAGTAAACAACCCCTAAAAGTCTGTTTCTTAACAACTTAATGAGTTTAATATAATTCACAGTATATTCTCAGCCAATTATATATGACTATTTGGTAGTAGTTTGATGATATAGAAGTTGACTTATTCAGTGCGCTTCTAAGGGAACTTCATGCAGAAAGTCAAGAATCTTTTCCTTCCAAACTTGCCTCTCTCGATTGAAAAACAAGCCCCTTTTATTTATGAAAAAACCCTCACAAACAAAAACTTTTTAAATTTATACCGGCAGATTAATCTATACAGACAACTTTATCCATACATAACTTAATGGAAAACCAACAAAACAACTTCTAAACTAGGGATTAGATTTGGTTTTATGACATTTACTTATAAAATGATCAAAAATATATCTCATATAAGCGATAAATGATTGGAGTTAACACAAGTAGATTAACAGAGTTACGGGAAAAAACAATGCCACAAGTTTTTTTTTGTATATAATAAAACAAAGTCAGATGAATGAAATAAAGAAAACATAATACAATGGGGATGAAAACCACATTTTTGCTATAGATTTTCATCATCATAACAATGCTAATTAACATGTAGTTATAACTAGTTTGGATATAATTCTTAATTGTAAATTTTAAGATAACAGTTTGACTCTAATTCTTAATTCAACAACTATGACACTCTTCAAAAATTTTAGGGAATTTTATAGAGTGTATTATTTAATGTTATACGACTCACTTATTGCAGCAAAAGATTTAACAAACTCGTTGGCACAATTGATAACCCCAAAATTTTAGAGTTCTTTTGTCACCTTTTATAAACTCTCCCTAATACCTATTGATCACTTTTTGGTCTAAATTGCTCCTAAAGATGAGAAAACATGTAAGATTTGAAATTAGTGGGTTGTACCGACATTGTGTCCATAGTGGTGTTGTGCGTCGATTTGGTTTCCAAAATGGTGTAATTATAGGTTGGTCTTACCAAGTCAAACCTAACATTGATGGAAGAATATAAGAAATAGACAAAAAGGTTTAAGACAAAGAATGAACAGAGACAACTACATCAACCCCTTTCTCTTTAAAGTCAATATCTTTCTCCCTCCCTCCTTCCACCTGTATAAATGGAGCTTTATGAACACTCGCCACAGTCGCGACCTTGTAACTTTTCATCTTTAATGCAATTTATCTTTAAGTACTTATTCTTTTCTATCTTTTCTTTTAAGCATCAGCTAAATACTCATTTGGGTGTGGGTATAAGACAATTCTAAGAGCCGGTATGTAATACTTGAAAGTTACCATGTTACCACTTTTGGTAACTTTTCGGTTTGGTCACTCAAGTTGAAACTTTAACTTAATGGGTACAAACAGATCACTTGTAAGGGTTAATATTAGATATCTGACCCAAAGATGGGCGGATTCGGAAGTACGACTTGAATGATGCAAAGAGGTTTGAGAAAATCTTCATCAATCACATAGAGATATGAGTTTCTGCATAACCTTCACTAAGGTTTAGCATATCGGTCGAGTTGGTATGTCATAGAAACATGCACATCTCCTCCATACTGATGGAACTAAGATTTTGGAGATGTACTTAGTTAAGTTGGCAAATCATATGTTAGCAGTGTGGCCACTTTATGATTGGAGTATGGCCACAGTCCATCACGTTTTACTTTCGAGAGAAAGACATCGTGATAAGTTATTTCATGACTAGTTCTTTCAACCATCTTGTTGCTAATGCAGTCATAGGGAAAAAGTTGCACACATACCCACTTTTTTTATTACTTGTTAGTTAAAATTAAAAATCATCAAATCACTCTTAAAACAACAAATCTTTAAAAAGCTAAACTTGCACCGTAAGTGTGTGGAAATCTCATATTATTAGTAGATCAGTCCATATAGATACGATCTCGGTATTATACCATTATATTATTTGAACACGAACTTAGTAACCAATATGCACTTACACCACCACTGTGATGACACGATACCTACATTTATGAGCATAGATATTTGGTATCAACAATTTCATCATAATAAGCTTCAAATTGCACTTCATTATAAAATTGTAGACCATGATAGGTAAGTAGTAATATAATCTTGCGATATTGGTTTTAGTGTTACTTAAAATCTTGAAAATTTTAAAAC